CTCCTGTTGGTTTCAAAAAGTAACTGCAATTAATTGTTAAAACCTTCAGTTGTTAATGAGCAAATCTGCTTTCCTCCATTACCTTGTCTTTCATAAATCTCCCCTTCGTCTTCTTGGCGCATGGTAAGTGAAAATGCGTCTCACAATTCAACTTGTAACAACGAACTGACGCTCCTGGTCCACCGCAGAGCACACAGTTTACTACAGAAGCACGTCGCAGTGCCTCTTCAACATTTTTTAAAGCTCCGGAGCTACTCTCATAAACCTATATACATATTGTCAATTACCGTACAGAAACATTTAAAACAACAAATACTAAAAATTCCACAATTTACAGAAGAGAAAAGAACATACTTCTTGCGACCAAATGGCGCAATTTACATGAACCCAAACGTTAGCATCAACATTTATAAGTCGACCACAAACGTCCACTTCTCCATCACCCAGTCCTGCACAAAGTTCACAACGTCTAGTGTCGTCTGGATAAACTGTCCCTGATGGACGGTCCATTGCATGAAGTTGCGCCACTAACTGTTTCTGAAAAACGAGTCATTTCACTGCTCACTGTCAAAATCTCTACAATTTGACATCGAATTTCAGTCTCAAACACTGCTCGAAAAACATCGGCTTCTTAAAACAAACCTGCAAAACCTGGTTGGTTAAACGTTCAAAACTTTCAACGAGGGAAGCGTCGCATTGCATCCATAAAACGCTTTTCCATTTTTTCTCGGTAGTTTTTTGCGGAGTGTTTTCATTCAACGAAGCAAGATCCCGAACATAAACCACCTGTACAAATGTGACTTTTAACAGTACAAAAATAGGAATTTAAAAAAAAAAATTAAATCTTACAATAGAAGTAATCAGTGTGTGTCCCGTAAAAAGAAAGTTTCTAAAGTTAGAAGTAAACCTCAAGCTGATTTTTTTCTGCTTCAGTAGCTGCAAATCGAGAATCAATTACTGAAGTAGAGGCCTCGTTGCTTGCGTGAGAGCTATTAGCTGACTCAGGTTTCACCTGAATATACCTTTTACGCTTCTGAATGGAAAAAATGAAGAAACTTTATGACGGCTGTAAAACTTCTTATTAAAAAAAAAAAAAAAAAAAAAAAAAAAAA